GCCATTGTCAATGATTTCTTGTGATGTCCTTTTTTTATTTTTAAAATTCAGGTTTATTAAGGTATAAACAACATAGAGCTCACCAATTTTAAATGTATAACTTAAGCTGTTTTCCCATGTGATTGTATCATTTTACATTCTCATTAGCAACATATGAAAGTTCAGTTGCTCCACAGTCTTATCATTGGTGTTATTAATATTTTAATTTTAGCCACTCTAGTGAATACATTTTCATTTAAAATCTAAAAATCATGCACATGCATCATCTATTTCTACTTTGGGTTTCTTTACAGTGGCTCAAGAACTTAATGGTACTCACAAAGCATTATCAGTGCAAAATCCTAAATGGTTATAGTTTTACTTCATTTATCTTTAGCTTTCTTTTTAAAAAAAATATCTTTATTGATTTCAGACAGAGGAAGGGGGAGGGAGAGAGAGAGACACAGAAACATCATTGATGAGAGAGTCATTGATCAGCTGCCTCCTGCACGCCCCCGAGTGGGGATTGAGCCCGCAACCCAGACAACGTGCCCTGACCAGGAATCGAACCTCGATCTCATGGGATCCCAGGTAGATGCTGAACCGCTGAGCCAAGCCTGGTCAGGCTATCTTTAGCTTTCTAACCTACACCAAATTTGATAGGACGTTTTTGTGTCACTTGCCTTTATCCAGTCTATCCAAGGCATTCCAATTAGTTTTTATAAAGAAAATGCTTTTAAACTCCTGTTTTAAATTGTTTATTTACTATATTGGTAACAACATAAGCTTGGAAAATGTGGCAGAGACGGACAGTTGCCCTCCACATCAGGACTTCTGCCAACAGAAACAGAGAATGACCACTATCAACACCCTTAATAACAGAAGATTTTATATTATCAATTTTTAACTTCAAAAATTTGACAGACAATAAACAATATCATATTTTAGTTTTCTGCTGAAAGATTTACCATGAAATTGTACTTTTCTTACATGATTAAACTGAAAGGACTAAGCAGTATGTTGTAATGGGAAACAAGTCCTAAAGTTAGACCTCCTAGGTTTGAGTCCTGCTTTAACCATTTACTAGTTATGTGATCTTAGGCAAGTTACTTAAGTTCCTATTTTCAGAGTAGTGTTTTGAGAAATAAAATAATCTACTTACCACAATGTCTGGGTTAATCACTCTGTAAATGTTAGGTATTATTAAGTTATACATAAATATCACTAATGAAGCAAGTGCCTTTGGTGTAAAAAACATGATTTGTGATGTCAGCAAATTTTACTACCAGTTCCTAAATTTATTGTGTTTCTTCTGTAAGTATATATGTAGAATGGGGTGCGGGGTGAACAAAGCATAAAAGTTCTTTCTAAAAAGTGTTATTACAGTTGAATCATTTATTTTTCTGTTTTAACTTTCTACAGTAAAAAACTTACATTTTAAATAAAAGAATTAAGTTTCTTTTTTAACATAAGAAAACAATACATTAATAGGATATAGTTTCTTAAGCCTCAAAACACACAAATTCTTATATAAAGAAACACAAAATAATTGTAAAATTATAAAATGCAGTGACATGAATCACTTGAAGGTAGAAGAATTCTTGGTATATTATATATAACTATATCATAGCGACTTGTATTTTCCTGCCTCATTTCTGCCCATACTCTTAAACTTCCCTTTCCTGTTATAAAATTCTCATCATCACCACAAGGTTTACAATGAAAGAAAAAAAAAACAAGCAATTATAATACAATATGTTAAGCATGACGATATCCCTGATGACTTATCTAAAGAGCTGAGGAAGAAAAATTGCTCTCTGAGTTCAACTATGAAGTAGAAGAGTGGTTTAAAGTAAAGATATTTATAAAGAATCATTTTACAAGAGTAACAGCTTGTAGTAGAGCAGGACTGCCAAGTGATTCTCAGTGTTTCACTTTATTTTAATCAATGTTTAAAATTAATTTCCGTAACTATTATAAGAGTGTTCAAACAAATGCTGGGTTAAACAATCATGCGACCCATTGTAGAGATAACTTATTATAAAAACTCAAAACAAACAAAAAAACCCTTTAATGTGAAAGCCAGACTCAAAAGATTACATGATTCCCTAAGTGCGACATCTCTTTCTCAGGTATATTTGAGCAAGGGGTGGGGAGGGGAGTTACAAAGGCAGCGAACACTTGTACTCTAAAAGTGACAAAGGGAATGGTTGTTAATTGTGCTTTTTATAAGCTATAAGAGACATTATTACACTGCTAGAATAATGATACATTCTGTTAACTTGTTTAGTTTTGTGCTAGGTTCTAATCTAACTTTAAATTAACATTTTGAAAGAATGTGTCAGATAGGGCATGGACTGGGGGAAGGGGGTGGACAACACTGAGAAGGAAAAGAGAAGCAGAAACAAACCCAGGCAGTGCTTATTCATGCACTGTCCACGGAAAGGGTGTCCCGTCAGGTTACCTGGATGTCTCCTACACATGCTACATTTATTCCTATTGAGGAAATGAATTTACCAAATTATTGGAACTTGATAATCATTAAATATTCAAATTATAAAACTAGGTCCCCTTAATCTGATCAATTCGATGTCCAGAACAACTCAAACCCCTAGTGTCTAAAATAAACCCTGACTGTTTTTATTGGCAGAATGATACTCATCACACCACGTTCTCTTAATTCAGTTTCCCATGGGAGGCTGGCCTGCGAAATGATGTCAAATTCAGGAAGGCAAGTCAAGCATGAAAATACAGATTTCTGGAGACTCAGTGGGTACGACATGATGACACATCATTACAATCAATTAGGCCAAACTGAATTCTAACTTTCTTATAACCAAGTCACCTGAAATAGAAATTACACAATTGATGCTAATGGGGAATTACCATTCCCACCACCTCTTCCTCAGTTTTGATAACTAGGCCACTCAGCATACTACATTAAGGAACTGAGATTAATAATAGGAAAACAAAGTTAGCTAAATTCTGAAGCTAGGTGGTTGTTTATCAACACCTTTATCAGTACTTTGGACCAACAGACTTAATTACTGCAGTGACTTTATGCCTTATACTGGTAGGGGGTGGGGGAAACAGGAGAACAGTATGCTACCACTTAGGTAAAAACAAAATGTGTACACGGGCAATTGCTTGTATATTCACTGAATATCTTTGGAAGGATACTCAAGAAACTGGGGAAAAATGTCACTTCTAGAGAGAACATGTGTGACTGGGGGATGAGATAAAAGTCCTTTTGGACTTTTTAAATTTCGAATTTAAATGCAAGTATTACATTTCAATGAAAGTAAAATGTATTAATAGTATACTATACATTTCTTCTTAAATGGCTACATAAACATCTGAATCTTTGGGAAGACTTGGAGTTTCTTAAGCCAAGTAGATGATTATTTTATTAGCATGTTTTGGTAAATATCCCTTACTCTCCCTGTTAGACCATTCCAGTATTTTTCTGGAAATATTCACAGGGAAGAAAAATACTCTAACCCTTTCTAATTGTTTTCTTAAACTCATAAGTGGAAATATATATATAGATACACATACAAAACAATGTCACCTTAAGGATCCTTTCTGACTCCTTGTTTGGTTACTAAAGGTATTTCTGATGCTTTCGAGACAGAGAGACTATATATGAAAGGATAAACCAATAAGATATACAACTCTCAAAAAGACAGTTAATATAAACTAATTTTAACATTCTATCCTCACAATTTGGGACTAATCTATTAACAATCTATTAACACTTGTGCTTAATTTTTGCAGTACCTGGTCAGTATGTGAAGTATACCCTAAGACCTTGAAATAACGGTAGACTGCCCTTTGAGAATTAAAGAAATTAACAAAAGAGGATGCTAGAGTCCTTTTATAACAAAGTTCTTAATCTTCTTCATACTCCAATTCTTAAATTGAGGATTACTGCACATCCCTATCAGTTACAGCGGTTTGCTACCACTTTATCTCCTGGGCTGAAATCAGAATACATACTGAAGTCTGGAAATGACCCCTTCTCTTAAGGAATAGTCTCTTCTCCAGCAGAGGAGTCAAACACTGCCTTAAGGAGGTGTAATGACTCCCAGGTCCAAGACTTAAATGTAATCAAACTAACATATTCATTAAAAAACAAACACACAAAAAACACATAACAGCTCATCTCAATGTTTCCCCCAAACTCTGGACTCATTTCTCCAAATGTCCACAAGTCATCTCCACATGACTAACAGTCATCCACTCCTGAAGTTAATATATTGAAAACAGAAACCTTACTATTCATTCTCTCCCCCATTTCTCTCATTGTGTTACAAGAACAAAAAAGAAAATATAAAATTTCCCCAAAGTTAATGGATATTAGCTATTAGAAGATACTTGGAGATGAGCACAAAGTAGAAAACAGAATTTTAATCCAACAATGAAATTATATCCTATTCACTTTGAAAAGTGCATGCTTCCAGTAAAAGTACAATATTTATTAGGTTTAAGGTGTCTTTTTTAATTTACTTTCCTAAATACATTTTCCAGAGAACACCAAATTTACTGACATAGATGAACAAGTATACTGACTGATAAAATAGCAATGTAATATTTACTGGTGTGATGTTATGAGGCATCCCATCACTGGGCAAGCATTTTTAAAGATAATTCCTCCTCCCCTCAAACAGTTATACTCACCTCTTGATTATAAACTGTAGCAATCTATACATTTTAAAATCCCAAACTAGTCCTCTAACCTCTCCCAAAGTAAAATTCAACACAAACAAACTTGAGCCTTATTTAGGATTCTAATCGAAAATACATTTCTAAAAACCTTTCCAAGACGGGGAAAAGGGAAGACTTGCTAAGAAAGAACTGAAAAATAAGCTTAGTACAAAAAATAAAAACTAAAAAAAAGGAAAAAAAGAAAATCAAAGGAAGATTAATTATAGGAGTTTTAGAAAGGATGTGAGGTGATAGGCATCAAGGGTCCTCATTAAAATGTCATTATGAGTCTCTGTGAATGTCAGTTTACATACCTAAAATGAAAACTATTACGAGAGTGCCAATTTATTTCAGTAGCTCCACCATTCTTTTAGCTTCCCAGATTTAAAACTTTGGAGATACCGTAGACTTTTACCCCCACTGTTTTTTATAGTTAATCAGTCACCATATTCTAAATTTCTTCCTTCCAAAATGTCTCCTGTGAATACAAAGCAAAATTCCCAATTTCAAAAGGATACATACAAAAAACAAAGACTGACCGTGAAAAAGAACATTTTTCAAAAAATGAAACATGAGAAAAATTCATGCTATGCTGAGTCAAAACAAAACAAAACAAAACACTCAACCGCCATAGGGAGAAAAATGTATAATCCTAGTTTTATAAAAAGGAAAATATTTATCAGCATAAAACAAGATCTGAAAGGAACCACGCTACATGAAAGTATTAACAGTTGTTCTTTCTTTTGGGGGGAGTTTATAACTGTGTTTTGTTTTTTCACACTTTCTCTGCATTTCCTACCATAAACATGCATTATTTTCACACTTAGAAAAAATGTTATTTAAAAAACTCTCATTTTACCACTATTTGTCCATTCTTATCCTATTTCCTCCAGTCTCTCCCTTCCCCAGGACTTGAACAACAACAGTCTTCTTTCCTCTTGAGGTCTCAGAGCCAGCGCCTACCCAACTTAATACTGCTCATACACATGCTCCTAAAATTCCTTGTTCATACTTATCTACAACACATGGAAGCAGAGCTGGCCATAAAAACAACCAACTTAGAACAGCGTTTCTCAATCTCAGGACCACTGACGCTCGGGGTAATCACTTCTTATGAAGGGGCGATCCTATTGTAGGATATTTAGTAGCACTCCTGGCCTCTATCCACTTGATGTCAGTAGCACCTCCCATTGCCCCATCCTGTGACACTGCCAAATGTCTGGGGTGGGGGAGGGGATTGTCCCCATTGAGAACCATACATTGAAAAGTTTTAAAACTTCCAAAATCATCTCTGCTCATATCCATATATATATACCTCAAGCCTAAACTTCTTTGACATATGTCTTACACAACATTCCTCATAGTCTTGCCCACATCTTCTTTTTCTCAACAGGAACTTTCCAAATAGACCAGACTTACTGTTCCTAGAAAAATAACTTTCATTCTCAATTCCAAGTCTTTGAACAGAGTTTCCTCACTAAAATTCCCATTCGTACTTTTCTATTCAATGGCTTATATCCATCCTTCAATTGTCAGTTCTCTGCAGAAGCTTTACTAATTAGTTCAGTTCAGTATACGTCCACTACACTAATAAAGAGTATCATAATACACATATATATTTGTTTGTTGTTAATCTCATATCCCAAACTAGACTAACCTCCCTCAGGCTTTTTGCTCAGACACATTTCTGTCGTATAGCCACTGGGCTAACAACTGTGCTGGGCACAGAAGCAATCAAACGCTTGATAACTGATGAATGAATTTAAATGCTCTGCTGTTCATCAATAATTTTTCAGAATGAAACATTAACATACAACGGCATATTTTCAGAAACACTTAGGTTTTGCGTTTTTTTTCCCCTTTAAAATTTTTGGGAACACGTAGGTTTTCAACTGTTCTCTACACTTTCAGGAAGTGAAACAAAGGAATTAAAACTATTAACTACAACACAAACATGAACTTTATGAACTCCACGTATCTTAAAATACCCAATGGCTTTTTTTTTTTTTTTGCTCAGTACACAACACTTAAGTATGGTCAACAAGAGCAGACAAGTTGATTTTATAGTGTGTGAATATACGTGTACACAAACACACCTTACACATATGTCTATTACATCCCAGGTTGAAAGAGGTAAACGAAATGAAAGCACTTCGTGAACTGGAAAAAAAGCCATAGAGAAGGCAATAGCGTAGCCTAGAGAGTTAGAAGCTTGAAGCCAACCGGCTTGGGTCCCAACTATTATTAGCTGTGTAACCTTGCACAGGTTACTTAACTTCTTTGTGCCTCGGTTTCCTCCTTGTCAAACGGGGATAATAGTATCTGTCCCAAAGCAAAGCTCTCAAAACAGTGCTTGCCTATAGAAAGCCAAAATAAATAGTAACCACTGTTACTATTAATTACACTTTTAGTTATTAGCCAAGTAAAAAGCGCCAATGTCTACAGTTCTGATTCAAACCTGGAGCTGGTTTTACAGAAAAGCAGGATAAGCTATTTACAAGTTTAAGCTATTACGTGGACTAGTTTCTCAGAATTTTTGCTGGTGCTAAACTGGTAATTACAGAATCTCTGTTACAGGTGTTTGGTTTTTTATTAACCTGCAAAGAAACTGACATAGACAACTCTGTTTTCTGCAAAGAAACTGACATAGACAACTCTGTTTTCACGGAACTTTACAAGCCACGAGAAAACAAATCAACTCTTTGTTATCTCCATATTTAAGCCAATTTAAGAGCGAAGTAAAAGCCTCGGTAGTTGCTGAACAACTTTTCAGGGTACACAATGAGGTTTTTAAAGTTGTAATCAGCAATGCTTATGCAGTTATGTCAAGTTTTTGTCCAGCTAAACAAAAGCTCATCTGTCAGGGCACCAAGAAGCCGTCAGAAAATAAGGAAACGCCGCGGCCGGCCCGGGCGGCCGTCGGGAAAGCCCGTCCCCCGCCAGCCCGCC